AGGCAAAGACATCAAGATGCTTTCAATCCTGGATCCTGGGGTGAAAAGGCCAAATTTTGTGCCCCGATCATACAACAGATTAAATTCCACATACCTGTCATAAAGACATCAAACAGCATGAACGGTAAGCTAGTAAAATATTAAGAGCACATAATCAATTCTGAAGATTTCCCTTCTGCCTTCTCCCAATGAGAAGGAACTGGCCCTAGAATACTAATCTAAGGCCAGATAAGTTTTCTCTATCTGGATTATCATGAATAAAAGAGTATTCTCCTCTACCAAACAATAAGATATAGTCTGCTCCAGGACAAACAGTTAGAAAACAAAAAGGTTATGTTTCCCAATAAAGAAACAGAATAGACACAAAACTGCAAACTTGAATGCACAATGGCAATTAAGAAAAAGAAGTGTCCTTGCTTAGGTAGCACGGCTCCAGCTGGTCTTCTCATAGTCTGAAATGTTTCAGAGTCAAGATTTCGTTTCACTACCAGTAACAACAACAACCAGTAACTCACAAGAACTTTTACAAAGATAATATAAAATTTTTGTAATTGAAAACATAACTACAGATAACAGTAGTGTGCCAATAATTACTAAGACGATTGGGGTGAGGGGGATCTGGTGCCATAATGCTGCTAACCTAAATGCTCTTCATTCCCGTGGTTTGAATTCATCTTCCTCAGGAGAAAGATGGGTAGACTCCTTCCATCATTACAACAATTTATAATCTTGGAAACCCAACAGAAAGTCACTCTGAATTGGAACTGACTCAATGGAAGTGAGCTGAGGTTGCTGAATATATTTAGCTACTTCCTTTTTGTTAAAGTAATTAAATGCATCAATAGGAATATAATTCAATCTTCCTACATATTAATAACACTCATACTAAAAAAGGTAATGTTTGAATTACACTGTTATGTACTTGGGGTTTTTTAATTCATTTAGACCTAATCTTTCTGACCCTTTCTATGCAATAAAAGACTTTGAACACTCAGTAAATTATGGGCTTTAATTATTCTTTAACATGTAACTAACACTCCAAGAAGACCTGAACCATCTTGATATTGAAGAATATCAAAGACAATAGCCTTCAGATAGGTCATGTATCAAGATCAAGAGAACAAAAACCCTCATAAATGGACCCATTGGCAACATGATGATAGAGAAAAAACTAAAGTTATCAATGACTTAATTTCACTTGGATCTATAATCCATAATTAACATTCATGGATATCAAGAAATCAAAAGATGGGTTGCACTGGGCAAATCTGCTACCAAGAACTTCTTTAAAATGCTAACGAGCAGGGTAAAGATTAAAGTGTGCCTGACCAAAACCATGGTATCTGAAAATTGCATCTGTAAATTGAACAACAAATAAGACAGACTAAAGAAGAATTAATGCCTTTGAATTGCTGTGTTGGACTGCCAAACAAATCTGTATTAGGAAGTAGTGCAGTCACAGTGCTCCTATGAAGCAGAAATGGTCAGATTTCATCTCACATACTTTGGGCCTGTTGTCAGGAAGAGCCAGTCCTTGTAAGAGGACATCATGCTTAGAAAAGTAAAGGGTCAGCAAAGAGAGACAACCCCTCAATGAGACAGACTGATAGTGACTGTGGAGATTATGAGGTTGGTGCAGGATAAAGCAAGGTTTTATAATATGTTGTACTTAGGGTCGCTATGAGTTGGAGTCAACAACAATATTAAAAAACAAAACAAAAATAAAAAACCCAAAACAATTTAACACCTTTGGTTTCTATTCTTTTTTTAAAAAGTGACTATGAAAGTGAAGCTCAGGGAGAGAAGGTAGTAACTGAAGGAAAGAGACTAGATATGATTGTCAAAAGAGATTGCAAAGTCAAAAGAGACTTTGGAGGTGGGGGGAGAAGCAAGGAAAAACAACTTTAAAAGATACAGATAAGGGACTGTAAATGCAATGCAAGAGAGAGGTAGAACAGTACAGACAAACCCAGTAACTAGCTGGGGTTATCTTAAACCCCAGGAGGCACAGCTATCTTAAAGCTCAGGCATAAAAGTGGCAGAAGGAAGGCTCTCTTTGAGGCCCAGTTACACAACATGCTATAGAACATTAATCTAACACCACATGTTTCTGTCTTACTCAAAAGCACCAGAGATACAATGATATACTCGCAAAACAGAACTTTCTAAATGCCTCATTGTCCAAATAAGTTGAAAACTATGTTCACACAAAACTACACATGAATGTTTATAGTATCTTTACACATAATTAAAAAAAAAAAATAAAAACAACTGAAAGAAATCAAGATATCCTCAACTGGTGAATGGATAAACAAATAATAGTACTTAAATACAACGGAATGCTATTTAGCTACAAAAAGAAATGATCAAGACATGGGAAACAGATGGAAGAACCTTACATAAATACTGTTAACAGAAAGAAAGTAATCTGAAATGGCTCCATAATGTATGATTTCTACTATATGGCATTCTGAAAAAGGCCAAACTATAGAGACATGAAAACCAGAGATCAGTGTCCATCTGAACTTTGAGGAAAAGGAAAGGGATGAATATGTGGAGGGCAGAGCCTTTTAGAGGACAATAGTGATGAGGTGATATTAATAAGTTCAGAATTCTCTATTTATGTATCAGTTATAAAACTAGTTATAAATAATAAAATTAACATTAGTTTTCTTTAGCCTGAAAAGCTAGTTACTTAGCCTCCAAATTCTGTTTCCTGTCTTTAGTCATGTAAAGTAGTTTAATTTGTCTGTTTACCAGGAGAGGAAATGTATCTCTCCTAGATCTCTTTGATGCTGTTTCCCCAGTCATGTGTATCTTAATCTGCCTGTTTACCAGGAAGGTGACTATTGCCCTTCCTGAATTACTGGTACTTAAATATGAACTGTTCTTTTCAGATATAGAAATTCTAATGACCACTCCCAGATGGGGAGGCAGTCTTTGAGGATGTCCAGCTGTCCTCCACAGATCTGTAATAAAGTGCTTGTGGATACTGCAATCCATTTATCTTATTGGCAATTGCCTACAGAAAGAACCGTTCAGTAACAATAGTACTGTTCTGAAAGACACTGTAATTATGGAAACAAACCAGAAAGCATTTGTCAAAATTCATAGAACTGTACAACACAAAAAATGAACCCTTATGTAAATTATGAATGTTAGTTAAAAATACTGAATTAAGACTGCTTCACCAACTTAACGAATGTGTTACCAGTTAAACAAAAGAATGCAAGAGGTTAGTAAGAGGATAAACTATGTACAGAGGTAAAGGGGTATACAGGAACTCAGTATTTTCTGTGAAACTAAAACTGCCCTTAAAAAATACACTGTCATTTATGATTTAAAATTTATACACAAACACACAGAAACATTACTCCTATGCCTAAGAAGTTTTATGTATTAGAAAAGCTTTCCTCAGTAGTACTTAAAAATCTGTAAGTTTAGCATATGAAATCTTGTTTATACCTAGAACACTGATCTTACACATAGAATTTTAAATTATCTTTCTCACCAAACTGTCAGAAAGACAATCTAAAACTTTGCAGTCACTGTCAATGGAGGCATACCGTAACTGCTGGGTGAGGGAGGGGAGAAATCATGCTGACTCTCATAAACACAAAGACACAGTCTCTCTCTCTCTCTCTCTCTCACACACACACACACACACACACACACACATGCGTGCACGACTTCTCTCTAGTGGTCTGAATCCATCAGTGGCTCCACATGACAAAGACAACTTCTCTTCCTATGCGATTTATAACTTCGGAAAGCCACTAGAGGGCCAGCTGTGATTCCATATGTATGTGTGTATATATATGAATATATATGTATACATATATATAAACATGTGTGTATATATATGAATACATATGTATACATATATATAAACATATTTGTGTATAAACATGCATTTGTATACATACACCCACACCTTCGTACAAACATACAAAGAGTCATGGAAACAACCAAAACCAAACGTATCTCCAATGAGATGCTTTGTTTAACAAACCTATTTAAAAAAAAAACAAAAACACTTTAATCAACTTTCATTTAAATACATTTAGAAATAAGAACCAGACAGCATAGACAAACACAAAAATCATTTCTCTTTAGTTCTGGGAAATTAAATTAGCCTTAAGTAATGTAATGGCTTTACATTTTTGCAAATTAAAAAAAAATGAATAAATAAAACATATCAAACTCACTACCACAGAGTGTATAGTAACTTTTGACAGGACAGACTAGAACTGCCCCACAGACTTCTCAAGACTGTGCTCTCTATAAAAATAGACTGCTACACCTTTCTCCTCCAGAGGGGCTTCAAACTGCAGACCTTCTGGTCAAGTGTTTTGACCACGGTGCCATTAGGCCTCTTTTACCATAAATTTCTTATATCTGAGATAGAATTAACATTAAATGACAAAATTCACATTGCTGGTCAAGGGTTAATAGTACAGATGCAAGATGTCAATGGGAAACTTATGATGAGTTCTGGCAGGTTGTGAAGTCTGGAGTTGATTCACAAATAGCCCTGCCTGAAATTGGTCACCAAGCTGAACTCACCAAGCTCAACGCACAGAGCAGGCTAACTTGACTATGCACAAACTTGATTCAACTACTTAACTTCCTCTGTGTACACAAAAGAATACAGTTTTAGAAGTCATAGTGACTGAATTCCATATCTAGGTTCTTGGATTTACTAACTCTATAACCTTCAAACTCACCTGCTGCTCCAGGAATATTATGCAATAGTTTGCTTCCATAAAGACTATAGTGTTGGAAACCTTATAGGGCAATTCTACTCTGTCCTATTATAATGTCAGTATGAGTCAGTCTGTGTAAATGAGTTTGGTTTGGCTTTTCTTAGCAAGGTCATTACAAAAGGGTTTGTTAGAGACAGTAGCAACCCTCTATTGTACTGCTGCTCCATTTCCCGTCTATGCAAGAAGGTTTGTTCTCCTGTGACTCACCGGCCTCTCCTGAGCTGTTGCCACATTTTCTCCTGGGGAGTGAATGAGTCATCACAGTGCTTTTTCACAAGAGGAATATAAGAAGGAACTACAGCCTGGGCACAGCTCTGCACAAAGCGGAACACCTCCTCCTCAGACGGAGAGTCAAGATCATCAAAAAAGATCCCACCGATGCCCCTCCGCTCTCCACGATGGACTATAAAGAAGTAATCATCACACCTGGAAATGCAGGAAGTACAAGCAAGAGGTTAAAGGAGGAAAGAGAGACATGAAAAGCAATGTGAACAGTTCCATTTAGGGAGTCATCACAAACTAATATCCTTGAACAATATTCTTCACTCATTTACAAATGAGAAAAAAAAAACCCTTGTAGAATCTCTGTCTTATAGTATCTTCAATGTAAAATGTGCTTATATACTTATCCACAAAACAGGAAGGTAATTTTACATATATTTATCTAAAAGACACAGAACTCAAAGAACTCTAGTGAAAACAGAAATCAGAAGTCCAATATTACATACTGTCTTCAATCAGGAAGCTCAAGCAGCCTAGTGATAAGGAGTTGTGCTGCCAACCCATAGATAAGAGATTCAAATCCACTGATTACTCCAAGGGAAAAATATAGACAATTTCCTCCTGTGTAATTTATAGCTTCTGAAAATCCACTGAAGGGTCTGCTTTGAGCTTATTCTGACTTGGCAATGTTTTCCTTTTTTTCCTTGAAACAAGTGGTGCCTCGATTAGTTTTTGCACAAGGTAGAGAGATAAGAATCCTCAACAACAACAACAAAAAGAATCTTCAATCAACAATGACACCAAGTAGGTTTGTGGCTGGCCACAAGCCACTGACCTCTCTGGAGTCTCTTTCTATTCACTAAAGAGTAGTCACACACATTCACTCACTGCTGGAGAGATGGAACCAACTCATGACTGACAGGATTTCAGAGGCTGTAAATCACATGGGAGGAGACCATCCATCTTTCTACTACAGAGCAGCCAATGGGTCTGAACTACTTGGTAGCACAATTCCATACTGCCTAGGCCACCAGAGCTCTACAGTAAATGATATCAAAGGTTTCTCTCAGCAATAAAAAAATGATGATTATATAGCATGTATCACTGTGGCAAGAGCTGATGGAAAGAGATGTTCAGAGATTATTCAGAGTCTTTAGTCGCATCCTGTTAAATAGAAAAGACAGTGGAGAGCAAGACAGAAAAAAGACGCTGGTCTCAAGAAGGAAATAGGCTTTTATTGAGTGGTCTGAGAGGGACGCTAGGTGACCACTAGCAGAGAGGAACAGAGTGGCACACTGGCAGACAAAGACAGTTTCCTTTTACAGGGGCTTTTAGGGACACCCAGAGAGGGAGTTAGTTTTCTCTGGAATCTGGGGACAGGGGTCGTCTCAATACATGATCAGGCCCAGGGCCTTTTTAGACTCTATCAAGGCTCAGGGCCTTATCAGGATCAGGTAATCTAGTTGCCTTATAAGGACATGCAAATTACCAGGTTTTTTTCAAAGAATAGTCAGGCCTAGGGGTGAAGCCTGGGGTTAGTTGTGACATTCTTCCTTCATACCCAATGTTGCCTAAATGAGTCAGCACACCAAACCATGCCTTTTTAGTCTTCCTCCATCTTTGCCTACTTGAGTGGGCCTAAGAAGCTATTCCACAAACACTAAATTTGTAGAATAATATACACCTTGGAAAGAATTGTTTTGTTTATCTCTATTTGGTAAAGTTAGTTCAGTTTAAATATAAAACTTGCAAAAACAAAAATCTAAAAGCAATATCAAAAGTCACCTTAAAAATATCCTCGACTGCTTAAAACAAAACAGAAAAGGAGCTAATATGCAGGAATAACTAGACCTACTGTGCTGATATAATTCATCTCAGTTGTGACTTGCTGGTGTTCTTTTTACATACATTTTACTAGTTATGAAAGTGGATCCTGAACAAAGTGGTGCCATCTGCTCTTAAATCTTATTACAGGTAGTTCCTAAGCTAACAAATGTCCGATTTTTTGACAATTCCAACTTGTTCTTTTAAGTTATAGAAATTTCCTCTCACTTTCAAAAACCCAGCCAACCCATATTTGCAAAAAATTTCATCACAATCCCCTTCTTATGATGCATATGCAACTTAAAAATTAATGCAAAAGCTAACTAAGAACCTATGAACCTGTGTCGACTCAGCTATAAATTCTACATAAGGGCATAGTTAGGAATAGATCTCATTCGAAATCTGGGACTCATTTGATTTCAAAATACTTCTTTAAAGTACAAACAAACTTGTGCACTAATTTTTAATTAGCCTAATCTTGAATATTTCATTATATGGTAAGTTTGCTTGGCTCCACAATAAACACTCTTGGCACTAGCAGCCAGGAAATTAAAAGACATATTGCGACGGGAAAATCTGCTGTTAGGGACCTCTCCAAAGGACTGCAGAGCAATGGTGTCACTCTGGAGACTAAGGTGTGTCTGATACAGGCCATAGTCTTGTAATCACTTGTTATATGTTAGAGAGTTGGACACTGACTAGGGAGGATAGAAGAAGAATTGATGCCTTTGAGCTGTGGTGCTAGATAAGAGTATTGAGGGTATAATGGACTGTTAAGAAAACAAACAGATTCATCCTGGAGAGGGTTAAACCAGGCTGCTCCTTGGAGGCAAGGATTCTGAGGCTTTGTCTGACATACTTTGGACATGTTGCAAGGAGGGACCGGTCCTTGGAGAGGGACATCATGCTTGGAAAGGTGGAGGGGCAGTGCAGGAGTGGAAGACCCTCTATGAGGTGGATTTCAATTCAGTGACAGGGGTAATCGGGATGGGTGTGTTGGAGGCAGTGCGATTGGCATAAGATAGAGCAGGGTTTAGGGCTGTTGTACACAGGGTCGCAAGCAACTCATACAGCACATAACAACAACAACAACAATGTTGCAACAACAACAAGTCCTATCAACAACAGCTGCAAGACTAAGCCAAACAGGAGATGTCTACCCACCAATCTTCCTCCTGGAAAGATACTAGTTTGTGAAAGAAAAACAAAACAAAAAAACCCTTGAATCTTATATGCATGTATTTACGGCTATGTAGCTTTTCATGGTAATGCTAAAACAAGAGGATATACAAAGACTACCTTTATGTCAAAGAATTGTAAAGCTGAAATCCATGTCCATGCAAACAACATTTCCAAACTACTGGCACTAAAAGCAAAGCAAAAACAAAGAAAGAAAAGAAAATCTTTCCATTTTTAAAGAATTCCAATTAGCTCTAAGCAGTATACTTGGAAAGAAGGAGGGCCTGAGGCAATTTTTAGAGAATTCTCTTGCTCTCTCAGATCTGCAATAAAATGCATCAGATATTACAACAAACAAACAAACAAACAAACAAAAATAAAGATGGAAGGTCAACGAGATGCACTGAGACAGCGATTGCAGCAGTAGGTTCAAGTATGCTGGAGATAATGAGGATGGTGCAGGACTGGTTCAAGTTCAGATCCGCTGTTCATACGGTCATTATGAGTTGTACTCAGTTTGACAATACATAATAAGAACAACTCTTACTCCAAACATTTTATGCCAAGATCCCTTTTAACATTTACAAAATTTCCCCAGTCTTTGTTTCCTTTTCTTACTTCTACACAAGGGAGCTCTGGTGGCACAGTGCGTAGGGAATTGCACTAACGCAAAGGCCACACTTCTCAGCAGTTCAAACCCACCAGTAACTCTGTGGGAGCTCTCCTCCTCTGTGACTTACAGCCTCTGAAACCTGCTGGAGGGTCAGCTATGAATGGTTCTGACATACTAGCTTGAGAATTTGAGACTTAAAAGCCCCTGATCCTCACACATACATCATTCCTTTGTAAGATTCTTCCATCCTTTATCATTTGGGATCAAAAAGAAATTCTGCTGCCCAATCCACATATAATTTTACACAATCCACATATAATTTTACACCTATTTCTTTTCTTTTATATTTTCGCACAAGTATTTATATGCATTTTGTTTTATAACATTAATTATAATTGATCAAAACCATATTATTACAGGAGCTCTGGTGGCCTAGTGGCAAGAAGCTGCAACTATAAACCCAGAGGTGCACGGTTCGAATCCACCAGATGCTCTGCCGGGGAAGGAGGGGCAATCTCCTCCTGTACCAGTCAAATCTGATCTGACGGTACACGCACACAAAAATAATAAAATAAATTAAAAAACAAAAAAAACCATATATTACAACATATCATCAAATCCTTACTATACTTTGCCTTCTCTTCAACCCCAACCCCATTCACCAACCTCTGTTCCCCTCTCACACTACACAGTAAAAGTGATCTTCCTATTCTAGCAAGCAAAGTTCACTCTGTACAAGCTGACAAAGGTGTTCAGTGACACAATAGTCACCTTTGAGAGCCACAGAAAAAAATAAAATATACCTTTTAGATTATGGTAAGTTCAAAACTTTTACATACCATTTCTTAAATTTAGGGTATAGATCTGGACCATGCTGGTCACAAGCTTCCTTCAGAGTTCTGTGAAAATGGACAGCATCGTCCTGGTTCAAGTATGTTGGAGTAAGGTCACATCCACCACCAAACCACCACTGCTTGTTACCTATCAAGTAAAGACACAAGATGCTGATGGGGACACTGAGATTCAGCAGACTTGTAATCATATTAGCAAACTTAACTTATTAAGTAGGAAATGAGTGACAAATAGAAAACAGAACAACCTCTTTGGCACTGAGTGGTAGTAAGGTCTAGGCAGGAAAGGCAAGGTAGAGGCAGAAAAAGAGAATTTAAAAAATTAGTAAAAATGATACTGCATTGCAGGGAAATAGCATATACATGATACTGAGGGATAAACATCAGATAGATGGTGGATCTCAACTCTGGTTGCATCAACCTTTGCTAGAAATCACCACATTCATGTCTCTGAGTATAAGATCCAGACATCTAGAACTGATAAAAACTCCCTAAGAAATTCTGATACTCCTTGAATTAAGTATCACTGCTACCATCCCCCGTTTCCTAACAGAATATTTATTTATATAGAGTTACATAACTCAAATATTTGAAAACAACTATTTCATGTGCTTAAGAAACTCTGAAAAAAAAAAAAAAGAAACTCTGGTGGCCCACAGTGTAGTGTGCTGTGCTATTAACCAAAAGACCAGTTGTCTCTTGCAGTTCAAATCTACTACTGGTTCCACAGGAGGAAGATGAATAGTCCCCTCCCATTAAGATTTACAGTCTTTGGAAACCTGCTGAATTCATGATAGGTCTTTATGAGCTGGAAACAACTACACGGCAGTGAGTTGAGTCTGTTGAGAATTTCACATGTTGCCTTATGTGTGTAAGTGGTCAGTACCAGATAAGCAAAAAAATTGTCATCAATTCTGACTTATGTTGGTCCTATATGTCAGAGAGTGCACCATAGGGTTTTCAATGATTATAACCTTTCTGAAGGGGGTTCTAGAGGTCTAATAGGCAAAAAGCTGTATTGTCAACTTGTGCTCTATGGCAGAGAGATGGGCAATCTCATCCCATGAACCTCTGAAAAATTTGCTGGAAGGAAGCTACAAGTTGGTTCTGACTCAACAGCACACAGCAACAAAAAGATGACCTTTAAGAAGTAGATCACTAGTAGACTATTCTTGAAGTCATCTTTGGGCGGATGTGAACCATTCATCTATCACTTAATAGCTGACTACTTAACCATGTGGATTACGCAGTGAATCCCATCAGGGCCAAACACTAATTTTTAAACATGGAAAGACTGAACAAACAAAATGGCTTAAAAATGAAAAATTAAATGACTTTAAATGCCACCACCTGGAAAGACACCAAGAGGCGCAGGTATGGCATTGCTCAGATGCTCTAAAGGGTGGAGACAGTTGGCCCTCCTGATGCCAGACAGAGGTTGCAACCACCAGCTGTTAGATTTAATTAATTGTTCCATTCAAACCACTGAAAATGCACTGGTGACCAGAAGCGCTCTCCATCTAGAATTTGTCTTCTAAAAGCAGGTTCTCGGTTTCACCTTAACCTCAGACATAAAGTTTCCCTTTATAATGTATAATGGATTTATAATTGCCAAGAACCTAGTGAATATTCAAGTATTATCATAACTAACTCATTGCCATTCAGGAGGAATTGAATAGCTGATCCTCCAACAGCTTTTCAAAGGCTATAAATTGCACAGGAAGAGGCCCTCCCACAGGGCTGCTTGCTGGCAGATTCAAACTGTCCCACTTTGTTTTGGCAGTGTAATTCCCTATCCACTGGACAATCAGAGCACTGGACAATCATTATCATGTTGCAGAAAACATGCAAACATCAGAGTCTAGCCTTTACCCTTCTCATTTTATTTTTAAATAACTATAATAACAATTGCCACAAAAAAACCCTTCAAATGCCAGTCCAAAAAGTCTGATAAACCTGTAGTTATTATGTTGTACTTTTTTTTATCTTGTGTCTGTCTTCTTGCCTATTTTAAAATACACATTTTATACAATTACGTTTCCATAGCACCGGAATAGAAAGAAGCCCCGAATAAGCAAAGCACTCCTTAAGAATAGAAGAATAGTAGGAGGTATCTCACTCCCTGATTTCAAATCCTACTACACTGCCATAGTGGTAAAGACAGCATGGTACTGGTACAATGACAGACACATAGATCAATGGAAT